CATGTGATTCATATATGAATTACATGTGATTTACATGTGATTCATATATGAATTACATGTGATTCATATATGAATTACATGTGATTTACATGTGAATCATATTTGATTTACATGTGAATCACAGGTAATTCATATGTGAATTACATGTGATTCATATGTGATTTACATTGAATCACATGTAATTAATATGTGAATTACATGTGAATCATATGTAATTCATATATGATTTATGTAATTCATATATGAATTACTAGTATATAGTTGAGTTACCTTACCTTGTATATAGTTGAGTTACCTTACCTTTCCATCATCATCATCATCATCATCATCATGACATGTATATAATATTGATCCACCTTTAAACATGCACATCTGGTAATTGGTACCTGTCATGACAGGAAAGCAACAAAACAGAAAAAAAAAATAACAATCCTAGCTTATTTATGTTCAATGCACAATTAACATTTCAAGAGAGAGTTATAGCTTAATTACAGACATTATCATAAGTCCATAACTATCATCATAATTGTTAAACTAATTTTTTGTTGTAAACAATGGACCTAAAGTTCATCTGTTCTTCTAAGTAAGCCTGATTTCGAGTATAATTACAAATGATTATTGAGGGTGAATATATAGTACCAACATTACCAACATCAATTGTTGTCCCTAGAGCATTAAGTTGTTCATCAAAACTAACTAGACTATATTTTCTGATTGGATCATAATCAGTTTCTCCAAACATTGGAACATATCTGCATCAAAGAATTTCAAAGAAAACAAAACATTTGGAACCAAACCATATATGTATTGTATACACACTACACAACTTCATGTTAATGGAGTTATATTAAAGGGGCAACAAACCTATCAAGCCGGTGAGTTGATAAAAATCAATATAGTTAGTAGATAGCCTCAGCAAATTGCAACATTTCTCCAACATACAAAATGCACCAATCAAATGAAAAGTTACTGTTTATATTATGCCCACAATTAATTGATCTTCATATAGAGCTAACGAATTGTTATATTTCATATAACTCATAAGTTTGTGTTTCATACAATACGGTTGAACTGTAAAAAGTTTAATGTAAAATTACCAAAGAACAAAAAAAAATTGAATTTAGAAATTAAAGCCTTAGGGCAGGGGAGACGAGATCCTCTTTAGCAGAAGAAATATCATCAAATTTGAAATATGAAGTCGTCCACAGCTTAACAAAATTCTGAAGTCATCAACTGTTCAAATCAGTTTAGGAATTCACGATCGAGACTCTTATGATACACTCTGGTCATCAATTCCATATTCAGAATCAACAAATGATACGATGGAAAACTGAACAGAAAAAAGACAAAACCTCACAATAATTTAGAAGTATATTCAATAATCTGAGCATAACATAAAGCTTTTTGGACCTGTTTCATGGATTTGGCGATCCCAGAACCGATACCCTCGCTAGGGAAGAGAGTGGCGCGGATCAGAATGGAGCTAGATGAATACTTCTAATTTATGATGAATTGGTACCTAAATGAATTTCCATGGTCATATGCTTAACTTTCTGATCCTAGGAGCTGATCAATGATGACAAATTGATGTGTAAAAAAACTTGATAGATCATTGTTGATCGATCTCGATGAATCGATGAACATGAATTGGGTGATTTAGGGCTTCAAATATCGCAATCGAAGGTGAACACGAATGTTGTCGATCTATAGGTTCGTAAATTCTTCACCAATGATTTGGATATGAAAGATTGTTGATTGGTAGCCGACGTTCATTATCGACGGACGTAGAGGTGGACCGATTGAGGGAGGATGGAGACGAAGGGAAGAGATACAGTGGAGATGTGCAAGAGAGAGAGAGAGAGAGAGAGAGGGAGGGAGGGAGAGATCAATCTGATAAAGAATGGTGATCAGGAGACGTATGTGTATGAGTCAATTTCTATAACCCTAAAATGCCCTTAACTCCATTTAATTTTGATTCCCTATCCATTTATTTTTCCACTTATTTACAAAAATATTACAATGCATCTTGATCATTCCTTTTTTTGATTCAACGCTCCACTTTTAGTTCTTGGATTTTTTATTGCGCAATGGAGTTGTAGACAGTAAAGTGAAATCCAATCCACGAAATAATTTGATCTATGAACATCATCATTGTGGTAAAGGTCGTAATGCCAGACGAATCATTACCGCAGGACATAGAGGGGGTGATCATACGCGTCTATACTGTAAAATAGATTTTCAACAGAATGAAAAGACATATATGGTAGAATCGTAACCATAGAATACGACCCGAATCGAAATGCATACATTTGTCTTATACACTATAGGGATGGTGAGAAGAGATATTTTACATCCTAGGGGGCTATAATTGGAGATACCATTGTTTCTGGTACAAAAGTTCCTATAAAAATGGGAAATGCCCTACCATTGAGTGCGGTTTGAACTATTGATTTACGTAATTGGAAGTAACCAATTAGGTTTACGACAAAACCTAGAAATCGATCACTGATCCAATTTGAGTACCTCTACAGGATAGACCTCAACAGAAAACTGAAAAGTAACGGCAGCAAGTGATTGAGTTCAGTAGTTCCTCATATAAAATTATTGACTCTAGAGATATAGTAATATGGAGAAGACAAAATTTGTTTCAAGCACCGACAGAACCGGAAGCGCCCCCTTCTTTCAAAGAGAAGAGGACAGATTATATATATATATATATATATATATATATATATATATATATTATATATATATAGGTTCAGGTTCATTTGAGACCATTCTAATTTTGTGAGACCGTGAGACTAAATATAAAAATAATTTTAAAATGCAAAATAAATAGAAAAATCCAAAAATTCTTTTTTTAAATATTATTTTCGGAACTTGAATTAATTTAAAAAAATAAAAAATATATAAAAAAAATTAAAAAAAAATTCCGTTTTTTTTTTTTTTTGAAAAATACGTGAAATATTCTAAATAGAATATTACACTGACATATTCTAAAAAATAATTTTAAAATGCAAAATAAATGGAAAAATCTAAAAATTCTTTTTTTTTTTTAAATTATTTTTAGATTTGGTCTCACGGTCTCACAAAATTAGAATGGTTTCAAATGAACCTGAACCTATATATATATATATATATATATATATATATATATATATATATATTATTTTTCTCTTTTATTTTACATGTTGAGTACTTAAATTCTTTTTTATGTCTTGTTTTGACTAGTTTAATTAATTTTAAAGATTGAAGTGAGTGAAAGCTACTATATCACTACATTATACCTTTTTGCACCGCTACATCAAAATCATTTTAGAGTAAAAAAAAAAAAGCTAAATTCAAAATATGATATCAAAATTTTAATTGTATGAAGAAGAATGTCATATTAAAAGTGACGACGTATTTGTTTTACAGTTGATATTGTTAGACAATACTATAAAAGTATATTGATCATTTTTCGCATATTCGGATACAGTTTTCTCAATTCGCTATTAAACAATAAAAATGTATATACTTATATTTTAACTCATTAAAGTTGACATTTCCACCCAAATTTGGACCACAATCATGTTTGCAGATGAGATGAATGCTGCACGTTCTTTATCATCTTTGACTTAAGTTTAAGTCAATATTTATCAAGTTTTAAAGAACGTGTTTATCTGGTTCATATATTAAAACACGTAATAGTTTGACCATTCAACATTATATCTATATGAGAAGGGATTCATACACAATAATTTTTTATCATACACAATAACAATATATGCATTATAGAGTTGTACAGTATAATATTTTAAACACCAATTGTTATGTATGGAAAAAAATTATTGTGTACAAATAATTTCCCTATCTATATACTAATAAAAGAATCTCTATCATTTTTTTCAGTTGGTGTGTAAATATTTACTAATTTTATGGTTCGATGTGTTAAAGATTTAAAATTTAATTAAAAAAATGTTTTTGATTACAAGTTTGGAGAATGGTCGAATTTGTAAATTTATTTGTAAATATTCCTCATCAATAAAGATTTGTATGTGATGATGATAACAATTTACGATTTAAAGTAATAAGTTGAAATACAATTGCATAATGTATGAATAGAAAATCATTATGAAACATAAATTGATTATAGACTTCATTTTTCTACATGTAGTATAATATACATTTAAACATTACTAAAGATCGGGTAGTTCGATCCACTGGGTTTCTAGGATCGGGTAACGAACCCAAATCTGGATCTGGTCGAGGGATTACCGGGGACCAACCAAATACAAAACGAATGATTGTTAGACAAATGGCAAAATGTGATTTGTTTGTCCTTTTAATAAATTGGATTAAATCCCGTTTTGAAGTCCGTAAGTAATGGTCCACCTCAGCACGTGAACTAAAATGAGTGTGACGACGTGGATGTCGACTGAATGTGACCAAACCATTGTTGGTTTCACTTTTCCAATTTAATACCTTAAATTTCATTGTTTTCTTTTATCGGAACACTTCTTTCAATATTAGTATTTAAGGCATCTTCATCAAACACAACATTTGGTGCGACTATATCATAAATGGTTCAGGTGGCATCGTGAAATCTAATGTTTAGCTTTTTAAGTTTAAAAAATCTTATAGGTAATCTCTGTAGTTTTAAAACTTTTAATGTTTGATCATTATATTTAACTTCATCAACTTTCAGTCGTTAAGTGAATGACATTTTAATACCCATAGACTAGTTATGAGGTTTTCTTTTAGACAAAACTTCAAAAATGGTCTATGTAGTTTTCAAAAATATCAAGTTTAGTTCCTAAGTTCAAAAAACCTTACAGATGGTCCCTGTGATTTCAAAACTTTTGACAAATGGTCCTGTTCGCTAACTCCGTTAGCTTTTGGCCGTTAAGTGAACGGTATTTCCGTCATTTCACAAAAGAGGGACCATTTATGAAGTTTTTTGTTATTTAAAAAATATAATTATTTAATAAACATACAACAGCAAAATTAATAGGAGATCAATGACCAATGAAATTAAAGCTACATTAGCGACTGAAGTTTCGAATATGAAGAATTCAATCAATAAGGTACCTGGATTAGGCGTAATATCGGTGAGAAAAAGACAAGATTCACTCACATTTGTATGCATCAAAAAAAAAGCTTGCGAACAAGTTGGAATTGCCTCAGTAGTAACAGAGCTTCCTGAAGAGTGTACAGAAAGCGAAGTTCTCGATGCTGTTTCAATGTTAAATCACAACGAATCAGTCCATGGCATTCTTGTCCAGCTTCCATTACCCAATGTAATTACTCTTCTACCCTTTCTTTTGCAATCAATTTCAATCGATTCACCCAATATAATTGTTGATTCAGCATTTGTGTGAGGAGAAGATTATAATTGCAGTGAAAGTTGAAAAAGATGTGGATGGTTTTCATCCTGTGAACATGGGAAACCTTGCAATGAGAGGAAGGGAGCCTTTGTTTATTCCTTGTGCCTCTTTAGGGTGTATTGAGGTGCTTAATCGATGCAGTGTAGAAATTTTAGGTAATAAAGTAGTGGTAATTGGAAGAAGCATGATTACTGGATTACCCACTTCCTTGCTATTACAGGTATTTAATTTATTTGTATCCAAATTGTCTTGTTGTAATGTTATTATTAGTCTGAATCACATGTCTTTCTACATTCAGAGACATCATGCTACAGTAAGCGTTGTGCATTCATTCACACAGAATCCAGAGGAAATAACATGTGAAGCTGACATTTTGGTTTCAGATGTTGGAGTTCCAAATTTGATTAGAAGTCATTAGTTGAAGCCTGGGGTTGTGGTAATTGATATGGGGTCAACACTGGTTTAACTTAACCACGGGATGTCGGCCTCTCCATCTCCGATTCTCCACTGTTCCAGCCCCATCTCCATCCTTGCTTCGTTAATTAAACACCCACCACCTGCTTGTTGTATTTTCAAGTACCATCGACACCCAAAACAGCCTCCTAGCAAGGCTTAAACTGTTGAGAAACTGTCACGAGAAAAGCACTGGCAGCTCTCCCTTAGACGACCAAAAGCAGCCTCGAACACCCCCTCATTCCCTTGACAGACAAATGCTGCTATTGTCTCCCTTATGTCGGGTTACGGCCGGTGATGAGGCAAAATGAAAGAAGGAAACCGCCGGAGTAGACCTGTATAGCCGACGCCCCCTCCCCCCTTTCTCACGATCGCCAACCACATGACCACCATTTTGATTGCCTTCGATCGCCTGATGCCTTCTAGATCTAATGAAGCCGAAGATGAGGACCGAGGTCCCTTTCTCAGTCCCACCTTGTCATCTGCTTGAACCTCACTAGTACCCTCAATTTTTGATTGCTTCCATTCGTGTTCTTCCCCGATCAGACGAAGAAGACGCACCATCTCCCTTTTGCATTTGAGTTCATCGACGAAGTGAAGATCCAGTTTAAGAGAGGGAGAGAGAGAGAGAGAGAGAGAGAGAGAGAGAGAGAGAAAGAAAGCGAGAGAGAGGGTGGGACCATTTATTAAATAACTATATTTTTTTAAATAACAAAAAACTTCATAAATGGTCCCTCTTTTGTGAAATGACGGAAATACCCTTCACTTAACGGCCAAAAGCCAACGGAGTTAGCGAAAAGGACCATTTGTTAAAAGTTTATAAACCACAGGGACCATCTGTGAGGTTTTTTAAACTTAGGGACTAAACTTGATATTTTTGAAAACCATAAGGACCATTTTTGAAGTTTTGTCTTTCTTTTATTTTAAATAAAAAGAAAAAATCTAATATGTAAGGGGTCTCTCTCTCTCTCTCTCTCTCTCTCTCTGAAGGTTTGTATCAAACGGATACACTTCAAGTATAATAAACAAGAACAAACTAACTAAGAAAATAAAGAACATAAAAAGTAAAGAACACGAAATATTCATCAAATCGTCTTTCACAAAGAAATGATTTGTTTTCTCCAAGAAAACGGGTTCTCACAAAGGCAAGTACCAAGACTTATATTAGGGTTTCACCTTAATGTTGTATATATACTAATCTATACTAGTATATCCCTTAATTGAAATGATTTTATCTAATCTGTACAAAGAACCGATCCTTATCGAAAAGATATCAGATCTGCAATCCATTCTATACATATCTTTATAATTACATAATATACAAAGATTACATTAGATTATATAACTACACGCTAACGCTGATCTTCATGTTGATGCTGATTGAGACGTTGGCGTTGGTGGTCAGCATATAGAATGTTTGACTCATCAAATCATAAGGTGTAACCTTACACACACGTACTCTCTCTCTCTCTCTCTCTCTCTCTCTCGACACTCCTTTTTTCCCAGTGACAATTTTTTTGGTGACTGCTTTTCCATGGTCATCACCAACAACCTTCTTTAGTTACCTCCACAACCACCATTAGCCACCATTTACATCAACTCAAACAAAAATAAAACCAAAGAAAAGCCTGCAATAAAAAACAAACTTTTGTGCATTTTGGGCAATAAAAATCGAACTTTAAAAACTTGATCCCCCACCTGCATCTAAAACCCACTACTATTGCTATCCAAATTACAAAATCCATATATCTTCATCTTCTTGATTTCAATCATCTACCACCAATGTCCATAACTACCTAAGTTTCATCTTTTTGATTCCAATCATCCACCACTACTGTCACGAGCCATTTGTCCCCAAAAAGAGTTTTGTTCTCCCTATAAATCCATCAAAATCAATTTAAGTTTCAATAATCTAAATATCTTTTTTTTAAGAGTAACACACACTGAAACTCGATTTCTCCGATCACCATCATCGGTGCAAATTGATCAAATTGAGCACCCCATGAAACACATAACCTTAGTCAAGTCGTGCTTTAGGTTCAACTTATACAAATCAAAAAGGGAGTGGTTGTAGAGCCGTTGGAGGTTGTAGTATAAGCCCCCTCTTCAAACCCATATTTGTCAACCATATATCTGATTTCTCCTTCTATTTTCTCCATCTCAATTGAGTTATGTTTCTCCACTGATTACGAATGTTTCATCTCCAGATTGAAGACCTAAAAAATGCCAAGACCCACTGAGAAGTTCTCCAGCTCCGGCGAATACGGATCGCCGACAACAAATGAGTTCAACAAACCGAAATTCCCATCACCTTCTTCATTAACCACCTACAACTTCGAACAATTGTTTTGGATTTACGGTTTTGATTCTTGTGTCAAAGAACCCTAATCCCACCTCCACCAATATCTATCACCGACATCAAATTCACCACCATAACCTTAGTCAACTCGTGCTTTAGGTTCAACTTATACAAATCAAAAAGGGAGTGGTTGTAGAGCCGTTGGAGGTTGTAGTACAAGCCCCCTCTTCAAACCCATATTTGTTAACCATATATATCTGATTTCTACTTCTATTTTCTCCATCTCAATTGAGTTATGTTTCTCCACCGATTACGAATGTTTCATCTCCAGATTGAAGACCTAAAAAATGCCAAGACCCACTGAGAAGTTCTTCAGCTCTCGCGAATCCGAGTCGTCGACAACAAACGAGTTCAACAAATCGAAATTCCCATCACCTTCTTCATCAACCACCTACAACTTCGAACAATTGTTTTGGAATTACGGTTTTGATTCTTGTGTCAAAGAACCCTAATCCCACATCCACCAATATCTAACACCGACATCAAATTCACCACCATGTTCTTTCTCATCCTCATCCACCATCGTCATTGCCACACGATCCTATTTTTGGAAACACAAATCTAATTCAGAAAGAAAACAACATGGGCAATTTGTTATGGGTGTTTTGTGTTAATTTGGGATTAATTTGCAAGAAGAAGAAGATGGGTCGTTAGAGAGAGAGAGAGAGAGAGAGAGAGAAGAGAGAGAGAGAGAGAGACCCGTTACATATTAAATTTCATTTTTTTATTTAAAATAAAAGAAAACATTATAAATGGTCGATGAGGTATTGAAATGACGAAAATGACATTCACTTAACGGTATAAGATTTTTTAAACTTAGAAACTAAACTTCAGATTTTAAAATATCATAGGGACCACTTATAAAGTTTTCTCATATTTTTTTTTTGGTAAAAGTACTACAAATAAACACTTATAAGTATTAAATTGCAATGTCAACCATGTGATACAAGCAATTGTACACTTTGTTTGGTTATTTTTAAACCTAAAATGACTAAAAACATACGGTTATAATTTTTACAACATATAATATAACATTAAAAAAAAAAATCTTGTAGTAATGATTTTTTTCTAGTCATTCTCATATTTAAGTAAATGGTCCTGTGATATACCAAAAGTTATAAACCTAGCCCTATTTAATTGACGAAAATGGTCCTATGATTTCAATACATGCACTCATGCATAGATTTTTTTTTTGAATATTTTTTTTTCTGACACTGTAATTTTTATCCGTTAGTACGAGAGTAATTTGATCTTTTTAGTTAGTAAGTATCGAATTTGTGACTATAGGTAAACAATATGCACCATTTTTGTATATTTTATGTTTATGAGTTTATAACTTTTATACCTTTTACTTTTTAAAATATCACTTTGATCCATTCACTTCAACTTTATAAAATATAATTTTCACTCATTTATTTTCTAAACTTACATATTTATCATCGTACTATATATAATTTGATGTTTCTTAATAACTTTCGTTCGTTAATCTAAAAAAGAAACTTACACGTTTATTTTCATATATGTATCTGTATGAATTCAATATGTTAATGTTTCGACGTAATTTAGAACTTACGTTTGTTATAATTATTTTTTTTTTAAAATAACTTACCTTTTTTTTATAAACGTGCCGGTTTAAATTTGAGGTTGTATACGTTTCGATGTAGTTTTTTTTACATTTTCATGCTTAATTTTATGTACGTTTCTACGTATATATAGAGTTAAATATAACAATTTTCGTTCGTTAACTTTAAAAAACGTATTATATTCAATTTGTGTATGTTTTGACGTCTTTTTTTTTGTTTTTTATGTTTAATAATATATTTGTCATACGTATGAGCTGCGTCACATATAATAATCAAGGTTCTAAAAAGTTCATTATGACTTCAAGGCTTGTGTCTGCCGCCAAGCTTTACGAAAATGTCGCATTAACTCATATATGTGTATAAAATAGAATAATAGTTGAAAATACATATAAAAATATTAAATATATAAAAAATTGTCGCCTTAAATCACGTCTTACAAACGAAATGACTCGTCAATGCTCGGAATAACTTGAGCCTTTTGTTCGTTATTTTTTTTTTTAAAACTTACTTGTTTCTTATACATGTGTCGACTTAAATTCGAGTTTTTCTATATTTCGACGTAATGTTTTTTATATTTTCCTGCTTAATTTTATATATGTTTCTTACGTATGATTTGTATTACATATAATAACTTTAATTCATTAACTTAAAAGCACATATTATATTCAAGTGACAAGTTTTTCTACGTTTTAACATAATTTTTATTTATTGTTTATTTTTCCGCTTAATTTTATACATACTTAATACGTACGAGTTGCATCACATATAATATCTTTTAATCGGTAAATAAAAAAAATAAATTTTCATTTATATATATATCGGTATAAATCAATGCGTTAACATTTCGACGTAAATTTAGAAGTTTCATTCATTAATTAAGAAAAATAAACTTAGTCGCTTTTTTTATTTACTTGTCATTATAAATTTGTGTGTGTGTATGGTTCGATGTAATTTTATTTTATGTTTTCAACGTAATGTATTTTATGTTTTCGGTATCGAATCATAGACGGACTCGAATTTACA